GGGGGGGGGGCGCGGATGTGAAGCCGACCCCCCCCCCATCTCCAACAATTTTGGTAATTTAGAGGGCGAACGGTGAAAATATCACAGACATATTTCTGTTTGCTATTGCTATGTGTACTAAACCAGTATAAAAAGAGTTTGTGTAAAAAACATAACTTTTACTTTAAATTACTTTAAGTTTACGTAACAGTATACAATATGAATAACGTGTTTACGCATACATGTTAAGTCCCGTATGTAGCTCTGTGTGCAATACTCAATATATATCATCCAATGACGAGCTGAATAGTGGTATTAACACTTTTGTATCCCATTTAGCTTGCAGCAATCACCTTATTGCGCCAGCCAGCGTAATCATCTTAGGGCGTATTCCCATAGATTTTAGATCGATCTATCCCCGTGGGGAGTCTCACTAGATCACTTTCAGATAATCGGCTTAAATGTCCGTCCCGCCTACTACAAGCTGTAAGGGGGTAATTACCTTTCGTGCCTGCTAGGTTGACAGCTATTTAGCGTGAACCCCCAGGGAATTAGGTCGATCTAGGTTGGATCGATCTAATCTCTGGGAGTGGGGTCTTACATATGCTTCTCATTACTGAAGGGCAGTATTCTACAGATAAAAGAGCAGGGCTGGAAACTACATTCAGGGCACTGACGTTCATGACAGTATGATAATCCAGGACAAAGTGGCGTTTGTAACTGGTGGGGCACAGGGAATAGGACGTGCTATATGTGAGGCACTGCTGAAAAAAGGAGCCAAGGTGAGGGACCGTGACCTACTTACCATATGAAACTTGTGTGGGAACCACATATGCTACTGGTTTTTACATTAGCACTTCTTTTCCTCAGCCAGCATGCAGTTGGTGAGCTAAATGGCTTATCAAGGTGTCTTATATATTTGAAGTCAGGAGGTGTTATTAAACATTGCTTACATCGAACTGGGACCCAAGGGGATTCTCGCTAAATTGCTATCAACTTAAGAGGCTTAGATGTCAGTCACGCCTACTGAAGCTGCTAGGGGGTAATAAAGTAACGTTTAGCAGTTTCTGTAGTCGTGCCAGACATTTTAGCAGCTTAAACTGAAAGCAGTTTAGCGAGTCAAATTCGGTTCTCCTTTGTCGAGTTGTCTGCTAAAATTAGGGACAGCCCGTCATAACAAAAAGATTGCCATTAACGTAGAACTTAAGGCTGTCTCTTCGTTCATTACTCTGATTGAGGTTAAATCAAAATAATTTACACCAAAGCCGTACAGTGTATGCCCTCTACAGAATCGGAACCTTACGCTCAGGTTAAAAAAGACCAGCGTAGAGAAGAAGTACACAGCAGCGTCTGCCTATGATCTGTTACAGATTCAAAATATCATTTGAACGTATCACTGCAGACACCTGTGCATAAACGTGTTCTTCAACAGGGCCCACTTCTATTCTCAGGTTATTATAGCTGATATCGACGCTGCAAAGGGGACGTCGACGACGTCAGAGCTTGCCACTGAGTATGCCGATAACGTCACCTTCATTGAATGTGACGTGACGAATCAAGAAAGTGTGGAAGGTATTCATGAATTTGAGTTGCATGTCATACTAAATACTAAATCTGTTTTGAATTTATAACGTTAAGACTTTAACGTGTTTATGGCATTCATTAATTGTATCATTTTTCAAAAAACAATCTTAGGCCAAATTACATGTATGAAATTACAAGTACTGCAACTTTGGCACGACCGATATTTTAGCAAGGTTTTATAATAACTGAGACACCAAGATCCGTTGCTCTGGTACGAAAACGTATTATTTATTTAATAATGTTAAACTATTGACATTAAATACAGCACCCAAAAGCTTGTTATTTATTTATTTACTTTTTGAGTTGTAATTTCTTGTTCAGATACCTTAGGAAAAGCAAAAGATACATATGGCCGACTGGATATCATTAGTAATAACGCGGGCGCCATGATGGAAAATGATCCGATAGGTACAATCAACTTGAATTTGGTGAGTTTCCTAAAATCAGGTATTTTTCAGTCCTTGGTGAAGAAGGGAATCTGGGAATAAAAAAGTCCAGTTCTTATATACCGCACTACATTATATACTGTGGACTTCAGCGTGGTTTTCAATGGATGCTCGGTCATTTTTGGTCTAGTTTTTGGAAACGATATTCTTAAGGTTATAATCATGTGCGCTTAATATTTGGCTGCGAATTATTGTCTTGGGATTTTTTTTAAGATTTCATAATAAATAAACAAATAAATAAATAATCCAATTTCATGAATTCCATTGGCCGTGCTTTGACTGTGTGATGCTGTAGTGCGGAGTGATACGGGTAGCAGCAGTTGCCATGAGTTACATGAGAGCTGATAAAGGTGGCAGCGGTGGGATCATTATTAATACGGCTTCGTTGACTGGTAATGTATATATGTTTATTAGGACCTTATGTTTTTGATGACGAACTATAATGATAATGAATCAATTTAGCACAATTTCGAAGTTTGGCATATTGATGAATGTTTTAAGCAATCTTACGCTATCTGCCTATTGGGTAATTTGCTAAAAGCGTTAAACATATACCGATCGACTTTGAACCTTTATTTTTTAATCTTTTCAGGCGTTAAGCCCTCTTATAATTGTCCCGCTTATTGTGCCTCTAAGTCTGGCGTCATTGGATTCACAAGATCCTTTGCTGTAAGTTATCGTATTTTACAGAATTCAATATGAGTGCCTTCCGATCGCCAGAGCATAATTTCAAAGTAATTGTAAACTTATCTGAAATATCGAGTTTCTTCGTAGATTTAAGAAAAATCGATGTTGCACGTATTAGCTTAAAACGCGAGCAATGCATGCTTAGAGAGGCACTTTATACATGCACATGTGTAATAATTTATCAGTATTTCTTTTCTGCACAGATGAATCCCGACTTCGATTTACACAAAGTGCGAATGAACTGCCTTTGTCCAGGTATGGTTGACACCCCCATGATACAAGGCGTCTTAGATGAAGACGGCAAGGAAGGAAGAGTTCTAAATTTTGATCGGTTTAGATACGCCGCGAATCTGCCCCAGCTTAAGTATGCGTTACGTTGTACACAGTGTGTATAACACCTCTGCTGTACTTGTGCCTGTCTAATTTTTTTTTTTGCCATCATGTATACATTAACGTTTAAGTGTTGCGTCCCTGACAATGCAATGGCCTTGTTTTAAGTTGTCAGATAACTGTTAAAGATGATGTGCTTTGTTTGTTAAAACTACCGCCATCTACCACCAATGAACTAGAGTCGATATTAAACAGCAGTTTTGAAATGACATTGTGTGGAACATATTGATCAAATTGCTGTTTATTAGATCAGTACGTATCTTCCCCTTCAAGATATCTCTTTATTTAATAATCATATGACAACGACTGAGGCCGATGATGAGGACTTGGTAACTAGCGGAACCTGATTGTTTTAATACGATGACATTTTTATTTATTGTGTATCATAAAGGTTCAGATGATTTTTATATTACTTTAATTATATATGTTTTTTTCACCTAGGCCATCTGCAGTGGCTGATGTATTCATAGACCTGGTTGAGAATGAAAGCAAGAATGGAGCGGCTATGCTTATCACTGTAGAGGGTCCACCGCGAGACATCGAGTTTCCAATATATTAGTAATTATATAAAGACTACGGCAATCAGCTTCCTGGTTTTCTTTGTACTGTACTGGTCTACGGTGTGGTTTCTCAGGATCACTGGGGCACACGATGTAATAGGAAATGTTTAAACGCCTTGAAAAATCTAAATCTTACACTTTGGCAGCAATGTGTTTTACTGTATGATCAGAATGGTACTTCCAGCTCTATTAGAACTCCATTTCTGTAGTATAATCCAGTGAGATTACCATAAATATTGTAAATGGAAGTGTGAAGGTCCAAGAAATAAAACTATGTTCACTTAAAGACATTGAATATACAAAACGTGGTTTGTTTTGAAATACTTCAGCTCAGCCGTAGGGGCCTAATAATAATACATTCACAATTTCTGGCTTGGGCTTCTCTAATGCAATGGACGCAACAGTCCTTTACTTAGCACAATGTCTGTTGATATTCAACATAGGCCATGTGCGTGTAACTTGATGCGTGACCCTTGAAACTTGAGAAACATTTAGTCAAATATTCGATATGCCAACCATAGTTTAACAGGAGCATATCCATGCTTCGAAGGAAGAGTAAGTACGTACAACTGTACCGTACAGCATAAATAGGTTTTTGTACACTTTTAACTCTTTTAAGCCTTAAGTGAGAATGCATTTTTAATGCTTTTTGCTTTTATTTATCTCAAAATAATATTATCCAGTGATGTGCTTTACAGTTCTTTTAACGCTTCCATGAATATCACAATGAGTTTTTTTTGGCGATTTGCTTTCTCGAGTTACCCCTGAAGCGTAGGCATAGTCCACATGTTTTTGCAGTTCGAGGAAAGGAACCATTCTCTGCAGACGAAAAGAGGATTGAAAACTTCGAGACACTGAAGATCAAGACGATATGATAATCCAGGACAAAGTGGCATTTGTTACTGGCGGAGCACAGGGAATAGGACGCGCTATATGTGAGGCACTGCTGCAAAAGGGGGCTAAGGTGAGGAGATGGCATTTACATCATGTTGGACATGTAACTTTTAAAGTAACCGTTCTAAGCTGATTTAATTTACGACCAGTACGCGATTGGTGACTTTAAATGTTTAATGCCAGACGTCTGGAGGCATTACTGAACATTGGTTACACTGAACCAAAGCCACAACCCCATTCGTAATGTGTTTTCCTAATGCGCCTTGAGCCTAAAAAAGTCAGCATAGAGGCTATTGCTTTGACAAGTCTCTGCGTTAAAGTCCCAGCATGATGTTAGATCAAAACTTATGTTTTCTACAATACCGGAAGCTTCCTCTCAGGTTTTAAAAGAGGCTGGGTTACAGAAAGATTCACGAAGTGTGGCGTTTGATTATTCCTTGATCTATTTCGGTCCCAAGATACATCACACAAATAAATTACTGCTGAAAGCTTTACAAAACATCTTCATCAACATGGCTCACTTCTATTCTCAGGTTATTATAGCAGATATCGACGCTGCAAAGGGGAAGTTGACGGCTTCAGAGCTTGCCACTGAGTATGCTGATAACATCACCTTCTTTGAATGTGACGTGACGAATCAAGAAAGTGTGGAAGGTATTTTTGGAATTGACTTGCAAAGCGTATAAATCTGTTTTGAATTACTAAAAGAAAAAAATAATGTGTTTGCAGTGTTAATTACAAACACCGCAGCTTTGGCGTGAGGGCACGACCGATATTTTAATAAGGTTTTATTATAATTGAGACACCAAGGCCCGTTGCTTTGGTACGATAATGTATTATCATTTGTTTAATAANAAAATAATGCCCCGATTATGCTGATTTTCGAACTTGACCTGCGTTTTAGTAAGATTGATTACTCCTGTGAGTTTCATGACAACAGGCCTATCGGTTTTCCTTAAAATGTGTTTACAGGGTTGCATATATGCTGAAAAGTGAAAAAACAGCATAACTTCTACAATAATGGCCCGATTATGCTGATTTTCGAACTTGACCTGCGTTTTATGAATATTCATCAGCTCTGTAAATATAAAGCCAAAAAGTAAAACTGCCCTCCACTTATCGTGTTTACAAGGAAAGTGCACGGCGCCGACGGCGACGGCGCCGGCGACGACGGCGACGACAGACGCAGGTGATGGCAATATGTACAGACACATCTGTGTCTGTACATAAAAATTAAAACTGTGTATGTAACATTTGTGGTGCTTTTACTGTATAAAATTAAACTACATTGTGGTCCGCTTTTCCATGTTGTTACCATCAATCAATTAAATAAAAAAATACAGTGCCTGTAAAAATCCTAATTTTCCCCATAGGAAATATTGAGCTATTGGCAAAGTTGATACTCATAAACTACATATTTTATCTTTAAAAATGGGGCACAGCCGGATAATGTTGAATAAGGTATGGCTTTGAGTGTTGATAACCTCGAAACTTCGTATCTTAGAATATATTGAAAAAGCAATTGTCCACTGATAAATTTAATTTGAGAATTTAGGGAATCTGATTAAATCATGATAAGGAAATAGACAATGTGTTAAATACTACAAAAATATTTGTTTATATTCTATATGCATACAAAACAAAATAGGAACATAGGGGCCTATATATTAAGCGTATATTGCAATTTATTTGACAAGCAACCATCTAAGGATATACTTCGCATTATTTCAACTGTAATGTTAAAAACCTAATTAAATGGTGAACCTTTATTTCTATGCATTACTGTAATTGTATATTTTTTATACCGAGAGAGAGTGAGAGTGCAAATGTGTAAGGATGTGTGAATGTGATTCATAGGCAAAAATTAAGAGTAAGATTGCATCTTGTTTGCTACTGAATAAAAAAAAAAAATCTGATTAAATCCTTTCAGACCGTGTCCTTCCCCAAAATTCACAACTCGAGCGCTCTGTGGGTTCAGTGGGATGGTAATCTACGTGTATTGTTACATGTGGGTACACCAGAGGGCTGCAGCAGATGGTTCTTCACTATAGACGGTCAGGAGTGTAAGGACCCGGACACACTGGATGCTATGTATTATGCACATGTTGATACGAAGTCTGTGTACTACAATGTGCTCAACCCTGGCTCATGTAAGTGTGATATTTTAAAGGGTGTGTGTGTGAGAGAGAGAGAGAGAGAGAGAGAGGGAGGAGAGGGAGAAGGAGGATGGGAAAAATAATAGGATAAATTACCAAGAAACAGTACAAAAATATGAAATTACAGAAAAAAGAAAAAAAAAAACAAGAAAACGAAAATAAAACAAGATGTAACAAATTACAACAAAGAAAAGAAGATTCCAAAATGATGCTCACTTTTTCAACTCCCTTCCCTTTCAGTCGGCGGACTATGTATGGGAGTCCCTAGCGGCGACCTAAAGGTGGCACTGCACGTGGGGATTTGTCCTGGTACCTCAAGAATCATCATAGAGGAGATTGATGTGTAGAATGCGGTCACTGTGGCTGTATTCAGAGGACGAAAACACCAATTTTTTGTTTGTAGAAATAACTGGATTTGAACCGTCACTGGAAACTCACTTCAGTTAAGAACATGACATTTCAAGAACCACTCCATGGGATTTTCCCGTCAAAATGAATTTCTAGAGGATATCTCCACTTTGCCTGGTGACTGGCAAATGGATATGGATGAAGTGTCCACGTGTAGTGAAATAAAGTCAGTGTGTATGCAAGTTAGCCTCCTGTGCGTTAGCGTTCTTATTTACAACAAGAATATCACATATTGGCGTTATAATAAACGTCGAGATTTCTTATAACGAAACATCGTTAAATATCAATCAATTCAATGTTGAATGCCAACGTTAATTCAATGTAACTTTTCAACGTTAACACAAATTTACACAATCAATAATAAGTTCAACGTTGTAAATCAATGTTGGATTAACCTTGAATCAACTGTTGTCTGTTTGCTGGGGTAATAATTGCATAAAGGGAGTGAATAACCTCGGGCTTTAATAAATGTGTTGCTCTCATATATCCCTCTGCAAGGATGCTTTCCAGGTTCTCTTTTACCGACACGTTACATTATGTGCAACAAACGGTCCTCCTTGTCTGCAGTACTCCTAGAGCGTAAAAACTGCATTTACTCACAGTGACGATTTCTGAAACAGAACTCCCTACTAGCTGAGCCTGCATATTTGTCCTTTTTTATTATTGAATTGTTGACAGAGACCCCATTAAAACCAATACCCAATTTCAAGTTCCAAAATTTTGGCCTTACCACCCTCCCAATGGTTTACTAGACCTACCCTTAAAATAGGAAACTTGTGCGAATATGCTCGGTCTCTGTTACATTGCCTTCGACTCTCGGGTTATCTGTGCGCAACGGTGCCATTTGTGCACCATCATATTATAAACTAATCGAAAAAATCTTACAGTCATCATATGGTTTGAAAGTAAATAAAGTCATATACCCCAGTTACAAATGTTTTTCTTAACAGGTAAACGGCTAGCCAGAACCATGATGCCGCCTTTCGTTTGTTGGGACTAAATTTTAGGATGAAAAAAACTTTCAAGATATTATGCTCTTATCGTTTTGTAATCATATTTAGAATTTGAAAAAAAAAAAACAAAACAAAAAAACAAAAAAAAAAAAAAAAAAAAAAAAAAAAAAAAAAACGTTGAGGTGCACGGACAAGTTTATTCAAAAGCGACTCACTTAAAGACAAAGCTAGGTACACATTTTTTTTAGAACCAATAGGTACAATTAGGCCGTTACATTTAAGTAAACACGTTGCAATTTGTATACTATCCTAAGTGTCGCATTTGAAAATGCTAAGCAAATGAACTATTTGAACACACACACACACATATACACCCTATACACATCAGATTTTCCCAAAAGTAATGAAACCCATCATAATGTTTTCACCTGATTAAAGTAACCTAATAACAGGATTACCTCCATGAGACCATGATTCCATTTTCATTTCAATAAAAAAAATAATGATAATGACAAAAAACATCAAAAATACAGAATAAATAAATAAATAAATAAATAAATAAATAAATAAATAAATAAACTTGGTGGTACTAATAAATAGGAAACACAAAAATCACTTACACACTTAAGTAAAATAAAGGCATTTTTAGAACAAGTTGGTGCGCCACTAAATCTAGGGATCAAATATGGCCGACCCCCTTCGAAGTGACAGCCTTTCTGCGGCAGGGGCACAGCAATAAAACAATGGCTCCACTTCGATCAGGGCTTGATTCTTTCTAATGCCGCTTTAATTGCCGTGCCCCTGCATGGAGGGCACGTGGGAGGCAGGGAGGGCACGTGGGAGGCAGGGAGTCCATCAGGATTTTATGCGGCATCGCTTACAAAATTAAGAACATTTAAGAGTGATGGTGTCTTTGGCACCATATCCATAATTCCTCTGGAGCCTTCAGTGATAGATGCATGGTAAAGCAAAAAACATGCAAACATTTCACGGCAAGTATGCTTTCACAGTTCCTTGAATTTTCACATCACACACAGGACACCTGGTCAAACCAGCTGCACAAGTGGCACAGCTAGCAAGGTGCGCACACGGCAACAATACAATGCTGGCCTCATTCACAGAGCACTTTTTACACATACGCTGCATCATCATTTCTTCATTTTCAAGCCTCAATCGCTCCTTTTCATCGACAACGGATTCCTTGGAAGCAGAAATTTCATCTTTTTTATCTTTTGCAGAATTGGCTGTCTTCGGGTCGGCTTGTTTTGTGTTGGATAAACATTGACCCTGTGGTTGAGATTGGGTCTGTGGACTACTGTCTGGTCTGGGCTGAACAACACTGCTTATTTGACTGGTTTCTCTCATACTCCCCACACTGGTCTGTTCTTCACCATCATCTAAGTCTAGAACAGCTTCCACAAAAGCCTGGAGATTGGGAAAGTCATCTCCGTGGGTTCTTAGCCTCTGCTCTATTGCCTGGCGCAATTTGGCCTTGGAATATCCCATATTGGCCACAGTCTGGGCCATAGGTGTGTCAAGTCTTGCCTTGATTTCCCTTGCTTCCACTGGATGTCCATTTGACGAGTGACCTTGGCTGGCCCCGCCCATTGTTCTTTCTCGCTGTACCTCCCGTATGAAGGTCACACCTTTGCACTGCTTCACAAAACCACACTTGGGAAACCAACGTGCATGCTCCCTCCATGGTACGTCCTGCGGCTCCCAGTTCCTCAAGCCTCCACTGCAAAAGAAGCATTTCACGTTGTCCCCAAATCCCGCATAATAGAAACCAGCCTGAGCCAGGTCTCTGGGGGTTTGCTTCTTGTTTATGGGCCAATTCTGGAAAGAGGCTATCCGGTTTTGCTCCACAGCATGTTCTGGGTGTTTAGGTCTCTCAGTAACAATAGGACTCTCATCCAACAAAAGGTCTGGTACATTACTGCTATTTGAAAAAGTATTAGATTGTGGTACAGAATTTGACGGCCTCTGTTCCTGTTCAAGTCTGTCTAACACAAACTGACACAGAGGAAAATGTTTCTTGTGTTCAAAGAATGGAGAATCCCCTATCTCCCAGTTCCTCACAGCACCTCTGCAGAATGCACACTGCACAAGGTCTCCAGAGTTCATACAAAAAAAACCTGCTTTGGCCAATTCATCAGGTGATATCGGACAAATTGCAGACCATCCAACTGGATAACTCGCCCTGCGTGCATTTTCATCTTGCATGAGTGCAAAAATATGATTTCCATGACTAGAAACATTTTGCTGCTGTGCCAAATCAGAAAAAGGGTAATTGTTTTCTACTGATGACAAATCTGTGGATTCTCTACCAGGGTATGCATTATTATTTCCTTGTACCAAGGCTGAAGAAGGAAGCCGGTGCTGCTCTCTAGCCTGTGATGGGGTGCTATGTTTAACAACACTAAGCACATAACTAACAGTGTCCCTGACTGCATCTCTGTTCCCATGTAAAGAATTCACAAGTTCACTCTCAACACCCTCAGATGAAATAGGTCTATTATCCTTGTCAATACCTTTCACATGGGGACATGCCGGATAAAACTGCCGGTGTCTCTCTAATGGATTTTCGCCATTTTTCCAATTCTCTAGAGTCCCATGACAACTGTAGCACTCCACTTTATCCCCAGCGCCAGTATAGAAAAATCCTGCCCTGGCTAACTGTGCTGGTGATGCTTTAGCCCTCTCTGGCCATTGTTGAAAGGAGAGCAGCCTTTTGAATTCATACACTTTTTCTTGCACATTTTCTCCAGCTGTCAATCGATCCTGGTAATCATTTAATGCCAGAGGAGACAATACAGAGTTTGCTGCCATTCTGAAAATTCAATACCATAAGTTAGAGAAGAGAATATTGTTTTACTTTTTTAAAAATTCACTTTCAACCTTTCCTTCATCATCAAAACATTCTCCATTTCTTAGTATTAGCTAAAAAAATACTCATGTGTCAATTACACAACTCAGTTCTGCAATGTACATGTGGATAGAAATCTATGTGTATATGAACAATTGCGACCTTTTTTGGCCTTTGTTGTTTACAATTTATATGCATCAAAGGGCTCATTTGCAATGAAAAATTTGTTCTATGTAGATCGATTTTCTGCTTGAACTCTCACTGAATGCAATCAGATCAATAGAATAACTTGCCTCTTCCTGGCGTTGAGTAGAATACAAAAAAGCTGGTGATTATAATAAGTATGCTGGAAATTAGATGCGGCATGTTAATCTTATTGCATTCAGCTGGAGTCCCCAGGGATTTGGATTAGTCTACGTGACACAATAATTTCATTTGGAATGAGCCAATAGGCTGCATAAGGAATCCATGCTGGCTTTAAATTAATAAGGGACCATTCCCAGATCATATAGTACTCATTGTGGACCAATCTATCTCAGAGGGGATTCTTGCTAAATTACAATCAACTTAAGCAGCTTAGATGTCTGCCATGCCTACTGAAGCTGCTAGGAGATAATTAATTATTGTTAACCAGTTTTAGTAGGCATGCCAGACATCTAAGTGGCTTAAGATGAAATCAAATTAGCAGAAAACCCTTGAGATGGATGGATCCTGTTGGATCGATCTAGGTATGTGAAGCCAGTCTCTAAAACTGATGTGACAGGAATGGTAGTGATAACAAGGCAGCAAAGCTGTCAAATGTACAGACAAAAAGCAGACAATAACAATGCACAAAACAGGCTACTGTCAATTCTGATGCAAAAGTACATTATGCTTAACTGCAAATTCAACATCAAATTTTAATTATGCTCAACAGGTAATACCAATGTAAGTGAAATGTGTAACAAGCGTAAGGCTTCAGGCCCATGGGAGTTTAAGTTCACACTTTGAAAATGCCAGAATGAGAAAAATGAAAATTTCACATAAAACTGCTTAAATTCAATAATAAATGATAACCCATTTGAGCTGGCTTTCTAATTTGAACTGCATGCCAATCCTACAAATCATACTTGTAAGTTGAAAATAATAATAAGTAACAC